GTGATAACTGATGTATACCAATTCTCCCGGATGTCCCAACACCAGTTTTTAACTGGTGCATACCTAGTGATCACGTGCTTTCTTTAATTATAATTTAACCACATGCTTCCTAATATCACCTAGTTAGTTTATACCAAGTTTCATCAGATTTGGTTCAGTAGAAAAAATTCGGGTGTCAAAGGGTTAAACCACAACTATAACATATTCTTCTAGCCGTCGCTTTTTTACTTTGGTCCGAATTTAATAGGTGTCATCGAACCAACTAACTCGAAATGGCAAAAATGAGAAAACTAATTTATAAAATGTAAATTTCAGTGAAGAAGAAACAGTTGTTAACCCATCTACATTATTTATCTACGAATTAAGCTATGTTCTCGAGCTATATTTCGATCAATCAAAACTTTTTTGGTGTCATTGAGAACTTGGTGGTGTCATTGAGAATCAATTCCATTTGACTTATAATCCGTTCTGTTCATAGTGACTACTCCCTGATCCTTATCTGGACGCGTGATGACAATAAATGGATCTTGTTTCGACGCTCGTAACATATCATTTTCTTCCTTATTTTGACATTTATATTTTCGAAATCCACATCTTGCTTGAAAACTAAATGAATCAGAACGAAACGAAGTTTCCTGGCTAAATTCATTACTGACGTTGTTAAGACTCGTATCATCTCAAAACTATTAACTTTTTATCATGTACATTCTTCCACGTCAGGATCTTGTCATCTATAATCATGTCCAAATATTCATTATTCTAACAAATACAATAAAAGACACCAGTGACATCAATCGCTCTAGTGCAAGTTGACGTTGTGCATCAATATGACGTAATAATTAATTTATTACGTTTAATAATGTAATTTATGTCTGAAATTTACTTCCTCCTTTGAGAACTGTTATTGACTAGTACGATAAGTAGGTGATGACGTAAACCTATTGTTCGCTGGTTTGTATCTCAAGAATTTTGGTATTCAATTGACATGTTTTCAAAAACCGTATATCTAATACTAACTTCTGTTTCCTTATACGTAACTTCATAACCGTTTAATAAACACATAAAACATCTCGCCTCATCCCAAGTGAATGTACTTGATACAGGTACTTGAGAAATACGTGACAAGTTAAGTATTTGGCAAGTGGGTTGAGCAAGAGCGTGCCGAGTGCTGAACTGGGCACATACCCTAGAGAACATACTTGGGGTCAAGTACTTCGTCTGCGTAATGAAGCTGGTACTTGCCCTTTTTTCAGAAGTAAATTTACTTGTAAGCACTTGTCTTTACTTGCCAAGTACTTTCAGAAAGTACTTCTTAGCAATAAGGCAAGTATTTCGATCATTGACAAGTCCTTAGCAAGTAATCAAGTGCGTTCTCTAGGGTACTTCTCAAGTGTCTGGACAAGTCAGTCACCCTTTTCTTTTGCATTGACCACTTGTATATCAACACCACCATATCAATTGTTATACACTTATAAAATAAACTAATATATTTCTATTGAGTTGAACAAGCTTAGTAGCCGTGCATGTATTTGCTCTACAAAGTTAGAGTATTAAAATGCTCCAGAATATGTATACAATACAAAATAAAATTAAATAAAATAAGTACTTGGCTGAACTTTTTCAAGTAAATTAATTTGCGTTAGGTCAGCAAAGTACTTACATTTTACTTGGCAAGTACTTTACTTGAAAAAGTATTCGACGTACGACAAGTAACTTTACTTGAAAAAGTTCACAAGTACTACTCTCATTACCTAACTCAAGTACTTGGCTCTAGTATATTCACTAGGGATAGTTGTACTTTTCGCCAGTAGCAATTTTTATTGGTTTTATAAAAGTATCCATGACCAAAAAAAGAGAAATCAGTTTTAGTTTAAAGCAAACTTATAGGACTTCTTCAGATCGGTGTATTCCAAATTGAAAGCTTGCTATTTGGTTTGGACATAAATAGCTCATCTAATTCCACACGATCAACTCTTTGGATGAAAAGACTATCCACGATCCTGGTGCGCATGTCCGTCTCGACCATTTTCGGCGAAGACGTTCCTCAAATTATGACAGCTATTGTAAGCATTTAATGGTTATATATTATTAACGCACAACAACATTATTATATTGCGTTTAAACAGTTATTTTTATACACATATTTGTAATAAAAGCTTGGTATACAAAAAAAATTGAAAAAAAAGAAACATAAACAGAATAGTCAAAATATATAAAAAGAAAGAAAAAACAAACAAAAGCACGTATCACGAATGGTATCGAGTTGAATTTGATGATGAAGCAGATGATGCACGCTCACTAGTACTGGTTGTTGTCTCTACTACAGCAGCAGTTGTAGTAGAAGATGATGTTGTGGAATTTCTTGTTTGTTCATCAGCTAATTCTTGCCATTTTTGGAGATTACTTCTGTAAGAAAACAAGTTAAATGAGCAGATATTCATAAAAACGTTAAAAACTAATTTACCTTGCACCGGCCAACATTGGTAATGAATTGGGTAACACTTTCGATAATAACTCGTAACATGGAATGCATATACCGTTGATAAAGTTTACCTACATCAGAGCGAAATGTTTCAATTCAAGATAACCTAAAGTGAACACTATACTTGATTTTTTGGTAGTTCATGAGCTAATGAACGATTCATTAACGGTAATGGTTCAATTCCTTGACGTTTCTCTTCATCTCCCTATATTTAAACAACAGAAATGAGCTCAAATTTGATTTAACGTATTGAGCGGATGTATTGCATCTAAATCGTAACTAGATGAGAATTCAACAACGGAAAGACGTGTCTATAATTAATAATTAACGTACAATGTAAGCATACTGTAAAGAGATCAATGTTGTAATTGTCGGACTTATGAAACATACGTGAAAAAATAATTTTGATAGCTAATCTGTTACATACAAGACTTTATGAAAAAATTAACGAATAGTCAATTAGTGATAAAAACAACTAGTTCAGTTAGTGCTAGTTTCAGAAGAAAAATTGTGTGTTGAATTCTCGATCAAGTTAAGATGTATGACATCCAAAAGAAAGGTGCATATTATTCGAGAAAAAAAGCAGCAAGATGTATTTCAGTGAGAATAATTGACTTCTAATTGTGACAATCACCATGCATACGTCTATTTCTTACTTCTTGCCAAAATTCATCCATAATTGTTGATACAACATTTTCTTGAATAGCCCATGGTTTATACATAGCGCATAAATCAGCTGCTGTCATTGCTAGTGATTGAACACTTTTTCTAAACAATATTTACGAGGGTTCTATTTTTTGGTCAAAATCTAATGTTGTATTTGATCCGAGTATGAGATGGTGTGTGTGTGTGTATGTGTATGTGCATATGATGATAGTTGTTGTATAAAGTAACAGCACAAAGATTAGTAAGTGCAACTAGTTTAGTAGTAGAGGAGACAACAGAAAAAGCACAATTACTAGAGAAAGACGTATAAATACATCATTGCTGCTTTCTCTATCGAGAAGAAGAAGAATAGATAGATTTAAAATAAATTACTTGTAAATAAAATTCTTCCATAATTATATTCACTGTTGACCTTTGTACTGGCCATAATTTATATGATGAGCATAAATCTGCAGCAGTCATACAGACGCCCATAACTATGTGCCTATAAGTTAAGCAGTTTTTGAGCAAGTGCATATATAATTAAATTCAACATTTTAATAAAGACTATTACAAACTAAAGTAGGAGGGAAAGGTGAAGAAGTGGCTGCATGCATTTAACAGAGACAGCAAAAGAAAAGGTATCTTTACAGCAAGTCTAGTTATCGAAGGAGAAGATTATATAATCACTACCACACTCGATAAACAAAAAATCTACTGTAAAATTAATCAAGAATTCTTTTCTCTAAAGTTTTGTTACTAATGAATCAAATAGGATTCGACATTAAACAAGTTTTGTTTAAATCCGATTTGGGAATTCTTGAAAAAGATACTATCATGTTCTACGGTATGGTATTCAGTGTCAAAAAACTATCTGTATAATGAAAAAGTATTATTGTACTAATAAATGAAAGTAAACACTCGTATTGTTACTATTCGTGTGTCACTATATCGTGCATAGCCAAGAGATGCCAATGAGAAAACGGTATTCACACACATTACATTCACAAACAAACTGGTGATTTTGAATGAGTATTCTACTATTTGAAAATTCATGATATATACCTATGCTCTGTATTACTCCAATCAAACAGCTGCTGATCTAAAAGTCGATTTAATTTTGTCCGATTCTCAAAAAATAAGACCAGATCTGTTGCTAATATACACTGTCGAATATCGTCTAATACTAGACGATATTCTTTTGATGAAAAATGTTTGAATATATTATGATTTTCAGTCTAAATAATAATATGAGCAATGGTATATGCATAATTTTTGTTATAGAAGCAATCATACCTGTAAGATAGTCACAGTTTGATTAAAATGATGTCTTTCCATAGTGGATGTTGTGTATATTGAGGCTAAAGTTGACGCACTTTTCACCATGAATGCGTTCGTCTTTCCTCGATGATCCAGATCATGACATAAGCAGGCAACAAATAATGCTAAACACTATAGAATAAGAACAAATAGATAGATATTAATAAACATATTGGTTTTTATTTCAAGAATTTTACCTGGGTTGGAGAAAAATGATGATCTGTTTGTTTTATCACAGTATAAATTGCATGTGCAACAGAAAATGCATGTGACCAATTATGATACGGAACATTTCGATAATTTTTACGAACAGTTAAAATAAATCTCATTAAACATTCAAAATCATATCTAAGGATAAATGTATTATTTTTCAATATGAGATAGACTATTGTATGTCTAACTAACCTATTCGCGTGTGAAACATCAGCATTAGCTAGGTCCAAAAACATGTAAACAACATAAATTGGTTTCTGATCATTCGTTACATCCCATGGTGAAAAATCGAATCTAGTAACATTAAACAAGCCGTCGATTTTTATAAGAGTCAATTTATTTTTAACTATACACCTCACCTTTCTATATTTGGAATGTTTGTTGGAAGTGGTAAACTTTTATATTTTTCATATTCACTATTAGAGCAGGATGCGTGATATGATAATACTTCTAATGCCACTTTATATTTTTGTTCGGAACGACGAATTCTATCATATAATGATGCATGGTGTAATGCTAAAAAACATTATTGCATTATTATTAACTAAAAATTGATCTTTTCTTCCTTTTAACCTAATCCACAATAAACGGCAAAAGTTTCAAATGATTCTTCATCACTTTTCGTAAAATGACCATTTTTCTTATTTACCATTTGTACAACACCTATAACACTGAAAATATAAAAAAAAAAGATATGTATATATATCACCTGCTGTAGAATTATCAGATATATTTACTTACCTTCCCTGGATCATAATTGGCATACATAATAACGTTTTTGTTTTATAACCAGTTTTTAGATCGATTTCTCTAAAAATACCATTAATCTTAAGTGTTAAAAAATTTTAATTCTACGATCCTACCGATTAAATCGATTATCCTGATACGCATCGCCTATATTCAGTGTTTTACCAGTCGTCGCTACGTAGCCCGCAATTCCTTTATCCATCGGAAATCTAAAAACGAATGAAAAACGCGTAATTAAAGACGGTAATCGTTTAAAAAACATTCTCTTTATCAGTCACAAATATAACCCTTCTTCTCAGCTATTAAGCGTCCTCCTTGCCTGGCTAAATAGACAACCGATCTAACTGAAATTTCCAGAGGATATTGCGCATGACGAAGTATAAACATAAAAAAATTTCGATGCTCCATTTCTGGTCCTTTAGGCAATATTGGCTGAACAAGGAATGTAATGTATATCTGCTCTCACAAGAATCAGTAGATTTCTTTTCTCAGTTAGACGTTGCAAAGGCTAGGATAGTTTCAAAAAAGCCAGAATCTGATATAAAAATGACGAGCTATTGCCGAATTTTTATATTTTTTCTTCATTTTATTCAGGAGAGCATTTCATTTGAAAAACTGATGAAAAGATTTTTAGAAAATCAAAAATTTAGAAAAAACAGAGATCTAAATTGAAAATCGGTTATATTTCATGATTACCATGAATTTTATACTTAATTAAAATAAATCTTTTCGACATTTCTCTATCGAGAAATTTACTATCAAAACTTATGAGATATGCTGGAGTTCATAGTCTAAAGCTGTTAGTAGACTACTCATAGCTTCTGATGTAAACATCGTACAGAACTAGGAGATGTCTCGTTTTAAACAGAAATGTTATCTCTATTAACTAAGACTTTTTTATATTTCGGTTTCTTTACAAAACCTTATTAGAATAGAGAGTTCTAATAAAGGGCTTTTACAAATCTTTTTAAAACGAGCCAAAAATTTTCGACGTGACAGGAAGTAACATGAATGTGAGAGTAGATAGACACTAGAGGCCTTTTATAAAAAAAAATCTTTATTTCTGATAAGGAGCGAAAAGTTTACAGAATCAGGATTTAGATGATAAATATTCTACCTGATCTCTTTTAACTCTTTATTCCCCAAGGAACTTTGATGTGAATCTAAAATGTCATCTTCTTCTCGTCCAATATCAAATATTCTAGCATATAATTCTTTAGTTCTTGAGTCTACTAAGAATAAAGAGGCACGATCAGCATTCACCAATTTTTTTGCATGACTCTAAAAAAAAATAATATATTGGAAAAAGAGCACTCTTATTTAAATTATGTTTTTACCATAATTTTCAACATCACTGCGTCCATACTAACTAATTCTTGAAATATTGATTTAGTAACAGCCAGAAGGAAATCATTCAGACGACGTTCACGTGTCATTGAATGATACAACTAAAATTAGATTTATACTGACAATTTTCAGTTTGATAGCATTTTCTTAAGTGAAGTAATTTTTCATAATTTAACATTTAGCGGTTATTATATAACTGAAATTAATCATTGATAAATAAGTTCCTTTAGAGGCATACACACGCACAGACAGCACATATGAGCACACGAGAACTTGCAACAATACACGACTAAGAAAAATGATAAATGGCGAAGCTATTTAAAACAGATTGTTTCAGAAATAATTAGCAGCTTTTTACATATAAACAAGTGTTCAGTTTTTCCTTCGTTATTAAAAGCTAATATAGTCAGTTTAACATGGAGTGCTGGAAAACTTTTCGGACAATAGCTATACTATATTTCTAGTTGGGATAAAGACTATGTTTTACAGATTAGTAAAATTTATCATCTAACTCTAACAAAATCACATAATAAAACGAAGCTATGCACGTGAATGCGTAGTGTAAGATTGTTAGAGTGAACTATACAAATGTGTTTGCAACTTACAATTGTCTTTGAGATTGTTAATTGATTAATTAAAGAGAGGATTATGATGAAATGACTCGAAATTGTAATGATGTAAAAATACAAATGCATCGATATGAGAGAAAACTGACTACCACGAAGCTAACTGTGGGATGGCTGCTTTTCAAACTAAAGTCAAAATTGAAACGTAAGGTATGAGTTAAAATCTTCTTTTCATCGTCTGTCTGGATGCGTATGAATGATTTTCTTTTGATTGCAAGATTGAGGCAGGATAACTCAAGACAAAGGGGTATTGTAGAAAAAGTCCTTTTCTTGTTTAACTTTTATTTTAAAAAATGTAAAATTCGAATAAATCCGTTCGATCTATTGGGTAGTTCTTCCTTTTGAGAGCACATGCTATAAAAAACTACATTTGTAATCAGTACTGTTATATAACTGCTGATATTTACCTGTCAGATGACTAAAACTAAGATTCATTCTCCGTCGAATAATTTCACTTGTAGATTTCAATTTTGATATAAAAAAACTTTCTCAAATAGTTTTTGAAGTAAGGTGCCACTAATTCTAAGGTCGAGGAAAACTTTTTATCGTGATATTTATATATGGTTGGATAGAGCTTGTCGAGCTGTATCAGAATATGTGTGATTTAATCTTCAAAAAGCAATTTTTAAGGTCGAAAATTTGAAAAAACTCATATTT